GCAAAATCAGGGAGCTGGACAGGGGACAAATTGTATTTGCCTTCAGTGTGGAAGGGATTGTCACTCCTGAGTTGGCCTTCTCATCCACACTAGATGCTGTTCCAAGACCTCTATTCAGAGCACATTAGTATAGTCTCTCAAGGCTGAAGGATGCCTACTAGATCACCCCAAGAAAACATCTACTTCTAAATGTACCCTAGCATTGCCCTGAGAATGAATTTAAACAAGTTTACAGAAGGAGGGTTTCTGGCCTCCAACTCTTTGAAATATCCCACATCAGATAGGAGGGACCTGTGACCTGCCAGAGAAGGTTTCTGGGGTTAGATGCAGGTGGCTGCAGAGTGGAAGAAGAAACAAGTGACTTATATATATTATTATCAAACATAGAGAACTGTTCAATTTATTTTCTGTATTTCTGTTCTTTAAGAACAGCTCTAGAACACCACCTCATCACAGTTTAAAGTACTGTTCATATAATTATTAAGGAAAATAATAGAATATTATAATATATATATCAGAAAGAAAGTTATTTCACAAATATTCCCCAAAGTGGATAATACCTGTATTTGTATTAGCCTATATAAAGCTAATATACCAAGGATATTCCATGAAACAACAAGATTCGCTGGAAAAGATAATAGTGTTAGGGAAAACGGGAAGATCCTCAATGGGGTGGATTGACTCAGTAAAGGAAGCCAATGACCTTTGGTTTGCAAGACCTCAGCAAGTCTATTAATGACAGGACCCCTTGGGGTTCGTTGATTTGTAGGGTCATTATAATTTGGAAATGCAGCAAGATCTTTTCCATTACTAAAATATTAAACGTAGGTGAGTCCAGCAGTTCTCTTCATTAAGCTTGAAGAGTGTGAGAGAAGAGAATAGTCCCCAAACCTCCCTGATGAGGTGCTGCTGTTCCAGTGTCTGAGCTAAAATAACTTGCAAGGTGGAGTTTGCAACTTTGTTGACTCACCTTGAAGGAGTTGGTTTCACCTCAGGTAGTGTAGGAGGAACGGGGGGGGGGATTGCCCTCTGTGTAGACAAAGAACTGTCAATCACCTGGTTGGTTGGTTGGTTGTTTTTATTTTATTTATTTTATTTTAGTTAAGTTTAGCCCCCTCTTTTTTTCGGCCACAGAGACTGGTGAAACGTTAGGAAGAACAACCTTCAGAACACGACCAAAGAGCCCGAAAAACCCACAATACCCATTAGTTTAGTTTAATTTAGTTTAGTTTCTATACCACCCCATTCGTACACAGCACTATCCCCCTGCCTTGTGGCAAAGCATATTGCTTTTGTTTGTTTGGGGACAGAGGCACACAGAAATACAACAAATTCCATATCAAAAAAGTTAGCAATAACATTTAGTTGACACACTCATTTAGGGTCAAATACAAAGTATTAGCTGCTCTTAAAGGAAGAGGGAGTCTTCAGACATGTACGTGGCGCAGTGGTTAAACTGCTGTACTGCAGCAAAAAACTGTGCTCACGACCTGGGGTTCAATCCCAGATAGCTGCTCAAGGTTGACTCAGCCTTCTATCCTTCTGAGGTTGGTAAAATGAGTACCCAGCTTGCTGGGGAGGGGGCAATGTGTAGCCTGCATAATTAACTTGTAAACCACCCAGAGAGTGCTTGAAGCACTATGGGGCGGTATATATATAAGCAGCACGCTTTTTATTCCGCAAATATGTAACCTTGAGTTGGAGATGATACTTATGACAATAATTCCCAACTCCTGGATATCCAAATTCTTTGGGCCTCTACTTCCAGAACTTCTCACTATGAAGCAAGTGATGTAGGAGCATCATTCTTGAGAAGATGAGTTTCTGAGAGTCTGAAATCAAAGCCTCATGGGGAAGCAAAATTTATGGGGACAGACTCCTGAGGGATGAGATGTTATGCTCCAGCATGGGCTACAGCTTAGCTTGGAAGGGGCTATCTCTCCCTGCCAAAAAAACAAGCAACCTTTGTTATTGGGCATTCAGCATGGGCCACAGCTTAGCTTGGAAGGGGCTATCCCTGCCAAAAAACAAGCAACCTTTGTTATTGGGCATATGAGCACTTGAACAGAGAATTGCAATGCTTATGCTGTATCTCCAGCTGTTAAGCAGTTTTGCTTTACTGCTTTCTGCAGGAACACCCACCCTTCAAGATGCAGGCAAGGAGCTTGACGAAGTAGGACCATCCCTTACTTAAAAATGGAAGTCCATTTTCTCTTCCCCCCAGTGCCCCCCCAGTACCCAATCCAATAATCACACAGTCTCTCCATTACCCATAGTAAACTAAGGAAGGCTTTAACAAAAAGGCAAAACAATTGTAGGCGAAGGAGTAATAGGAATTTAAGGCAGTCAAAATATTAACAGGCTGCAGTAGTGATTTAGGGGCTGCAGTCCTTGAACTGAATAAGGGGCGCTGAATGCAATGGGACTCACTTCTGAATGAACAGGATTATTTAGCAAGGGGTGTCTGCTGAAATATTTATCATTAAATACTACTAATGATACCTTTGGATTGTTGACCTGATTGTAGTTTTTACACCGTTGCATTCATACCTTAGAAAACTTGTAGGAAGAGCAACATTATTGTTGTGTGCTATCAAGTTGCCTCTGACTTATGGTGAACCTATGAATGAGTGATCTCCAAAATGTCCTGTCCTCAACTTACCTGCTCAGCTCTGATAAACTAAACCTGGTGGACTATTTTAGGAACTCAGTCCATCTCATATTTGGTCTTCCTCTTTTCCTGTTGCCTTCCACTTTTCCCAGCATTATGGTCTTTTCCAGAGAATCCTGCCTTCTCATGATATGCCTAAAGTAGGAGAGCCTCAGCTTCAACGTTTTTGCCTCCAGAGACAGCTGGATTAATCCTGAACCCATTACTGGAATAGAATTAAGCTGCCTGTTGGCCCAGAGAAGAACAGGGCAGTGGGTCCTGGTCTCCCAGCTGGAGACTCCTGTTTTCTCACTGGTCTCTGTGGTCACCCCGTTTATACTTCTTTCTGTGTAGTTCGATCGTGTTTGTGTGTTGGTTTATTTTGCCAGTGTGCTTTAAAAGAAATACCAAATTTAGGATTCTGGCCAGGAGGGTGGGGGCAAGCGACCCCCCCCTTGATGCCCACCCTACCCGGGGGCACCCATGCTGCAGTGTAGCCGGTCTGGCTTTACGGTCTCCTTGGGGGCAACTCCAGGAGTGAAAGATTCCCAGCAATCCTTGTTTTTGTCGGGAACATTCACAACGCTCCTCTCGATAGCAGCATTTGTGGAACTAGAATGTGAAGGTAGCGGAAGGGAGGGGGCTTTACAAACGCACCTCTGTGCTCAGCCACAGCCCTGCCTGCCTTAAACGGTTCCTCCTCCCAGCTTTCTCCCGCGACTGGAACCAGTAACCTGCGACGGGAGCTGCTGCTTGTCCTGCCTCGGGCACGCGTGCATTAGGGCTGATCAGCACTTGATGTAGCCCAAAAAAGGGGCGGAGAATTCCGTATTCTGAGAAATCCCAGCTTCTTGGTTTCAATGCGTTTCCTTTTTCCTTAGGAGAGGGAGAGACAACTGTTGTGCCGTCGCGCCCCCCCCCCGCCGCCGCTGCCCCAATGTGGACAGGCGGCAGGTCCCTCGATCTTTAAAGCTGAGAAGGGTTGAAGTCTATGAAGAAACCGGCCGTCCCGGCGGTCCGCTCCCTTGCCTTATTAGTTAGCTAGTCAGGTGCGCTCAAGTCGGAACCGACTTACGGCGACCCTAATAGGACTTTCAAGGTATTTCAGGAATTGGTTTTACCATCGCACCTCACCAAGTGAGTTTCCGTGGCCAAGGTGGGATTCAAACCCACGTCCCCTGATCCAGCACTCTGTGAGTTATACCACGCTAGGTCCCTTGTCTTAAAGACTTTCAGAAGATGCGGGCATTGAGCGCGTGTCTTCCAGACCTGGGGAAAAAGTGGAATACAGTCAAATAAATAAATGCGCTTGTGTGGGAGGGACAGAGGTCTAAGTGAAATCTCAGGACAGGTAAGAGGAGCCACGAAACCAGGAGGAGAGGAGCTGCTCCGTAGATTTTTAAACGAGCGGATACTTGCACGCGCGGACTAATTGGCTCTTCTGACGCGGATTTACTCGCTTATGCCGAAAGTTTCTAACGCCATCGTCGACGTATCGCAGACAGGCCCCCGAAAGTCTAATCACAGAGATTTCTGATCGTTCTTTTAAG